TAGGTGCAGTCTAGAACACCCCACCCCCACACACATCTTTTCCTTGTGTTAGGTGCAGTCTAGAACACCCCACCCCCACATACATCTTTTCCTTGTGTTAGGTGCAGTCTAGAACTCCCCACCCCCACATACATCTTTTCCTTGTGTTAGGTGCAGTCTAGAACTCCCCACCCCCACACACATCTTTTTCCTTGTGTTAGGTGCCCTTGAGCTGGTTCTGATTCAGAGCAACCCTATGAACAAGCGTGTAACCTGCCTGCCCCGCGCCATCCTCACAGTTATCCTTCTGTTTCTGCCCATGCTTGTAGCCACTGTGCCAACCCATCCTATTGAGGGCCTTCTTTGGTTTCGATGCTCTTCTATCAAGTACATACAACACATCCTTTTTCTAGGACTGGTCTCTCCTGAGACCATGTCCAATGTATGAGAGACGAAGTCTAGCCATAAGTATGAGTTGGACCTAACTCAGTGAAAATGGGTTTAGAGGTATGAGTTAATGCAATTAAGTAAGGTAAATTAGAGGCATAAAAACCCAAACCCACTGCCATCCAATTGATTCTGACTCACGGTGAGCCTATGTAGGGTTTCCAGGGCTGTAAATCTTTATCCCATAGACCATCTGGTGTGTTTGAACCACTTACCTTTCCTTGAGGAGTCCAACATTTACCACACAGGGCTACCAGTGCTCCTTAATTAGAGCCACATGGATAGAAAAAAAAAAAAAGAAGGAAAACCAAAGTTATTTGCAGATAGTGTAATTGTATATACCTGGGAAACATGGAAAACCAATGTTCAAATTAGCTTAAGCAAAGAATGAAGGAAGCTAAAAGGATATAAAGTTGACAAAGAAACGAATGATCTGCATGTATACAACAATGACTCGTTAGAAGCTAAGACTGCACTTGCAATGGCAAAGAAGACAAACAACTCAGAGAGACTCATTAAGGATGTGTAAACCTGCTTGGGGAAGACTTTAAAATATACCTGAAAGATATAAAGTAGATGTGAACATGGAAAAATTGTTCTTCTTGGTGAGAATGCCTCAAAATCGTAAAGGCGTTAACTCTTAAATTCATCTATAAATCACACAATGCCAATAAAAACACAAACGAAAGAGGTGATGGGGCCAGTCAGGTTGACACAGAATCCACATGGAAAAGTAGACTCCAGCAAGAGCACCCAGGAAGCCATCTCCTGGTTGGGAGCGAGCCCCGAGAGGTATCCAGTCCTACAGGTGTCAAATCACACCACGGACGTTCTGTAATTAAAAGTAAGGGACTGTCATGTGAGAGACCGGTGGCATAGACCTGAAATCCCCAAACCCTCGGGCACATAAGGGATTCTGCACATGATGCCAGTGCTATTTTAAACCACTAGAGCAAAGATGGGTTTTCAATAAAATGGTGCTGGACAACTAGGAACCCATTTGGGTGGGGGTGGGGTGGGGATAATATCAGATCTACACTTCACAGCACACATATAAATAAACTCCAAAATAATAAAAAGTATGTAAGTACCAAAAGAAAACAGAAGGATTTCTCTATAAAGTGTGAGCACAGGACAGTATTTTAACTATACCAAGGTAAAAGATGTGAACATTGGCATGGTAAAGGGTATTAATAAATCATTATGAGTATACTGGTATACATGTAAGAAGACCTCTGTATCTTTCGCCCCAAAAGCGTTATCATAGAATCCACTGCAACAATTACGTCAACATTCTTCAATAGATCAATTATAAAGTTTCATTTCAAAGTACACACTGGAGAGAGAAAGCAGCTTGTCGGAAGGGGGAACGTTTTATTCTGCATTAGGGGGGCTCCGGTTTTACCTTCTTCAGTTTCCTGTGGGCCCGGCTGTGGTTTCCCTTCAGCTGGTCTGCTCGGCCCAGGACCCGGTACGTCTCTGCCACCTCAGCACTGAAATCACCAAACGCGCCCACCTTGTCTTCCAGGGACCCTCTCAGGATGGAGAGCGCTCGCTGTGAGAGGGACAAACACGGTCAGCTTAACGGTTCAAGATAAAGGTGAAGATCCTGACACGTGAGAAAGTTATGTGGCTGATGCTTTACTGTTCTAGAGGAATAGGCACCTGAGAAAAAGGGAAAGAAGACTGAAAAAAATGACGTCAACTACTTCCCCAAACACCAATCCTTCAAACTCTGTGGAGCACAGTTCTGCTCTGCCAGGCCTGGGCTTCCCGGCCTCGGGAACGGCCTCGCTGCAACGACTGCTTTGTTTGTCATGAGCTGAGCCTCGTCTCTGGTTCATTAGCGACCAGCAGGAACATGTGGGGGGAAAGAATGCATGGAGAACAAAGATAGAATGAATGAAGGATGCATGGAGAGTAACTTCATTCCAGATAATAAAGGAATCCATCTGAGTTAAGTAATAAGCTCCAAGGATAACATGTATTGAGCACTCTTCATGCTAGGATTTATGGAAAATAGTTTACATTTGTGAACACATTTAATCTCCATTTGCCAGAGGAGGGAACAGACACACAGTCAAGCAACTTTTTGGAAATACACATCTGCTCACCTATGTGCATTGCAGAATCCACAGTAGCCAAAAGGCAGAAACAAGCTAAATGTTCATCAGTGGATGAATGAATAAAGAAAATGTGGCACATACATCCGGTGGAGCTCTACTCAGCCCTAAAACAAAACGCCTAATTGACGTGCTGCAACATGGACGGATCTTGAAAACATTCTGCAGAGTAAAATACGTCAGACAAAAAGGCAACAAATCTTATACAATGGCACTTCTATGAAACATTTAGATTTGGCAAATATGTAGAGACTAACATTTATTAGTGTTTACTGTGGGTTAAGAGGGAGGCAGGGAGGGAAAAGTGGGCTCACTGATTTGAAAACAGATAGTAGTAGCTGTTGAGCACCATGATAAACGTAGATAATATCACTGAATTGTATGTGGGAAGAATGTTAAAATGGCAAACGATTGGTTATATGTATACTGACCACCATTAAAAAGGAAAGAAATTTGCTCCATCCGACAGCTCAGCAATGGCAGAGGTAGGACCTGAATCTGACCAGTAATTTTAAGAATTTTCTTTGGTTACAGGACCCTTTCCTTCTGTGCACCCTGGATTTCTGAATGTAAGTGAAAACAAGAGTTTCCTGGCAACGGATCTACTCACACCACAACCTGCCCCGACTGTGGGGTTTTCTATTTCTCCAGAGAAAGAGTGTAGGAAACTGAAAGGAAACATTCCAACATGATGACATTTTATTTGGTCCATAAAATATATACCAAGATGAAATAAAAAATATAAGTAGGACATCAGCAACATTTTCTGACATTAACCTCTCCAGCCAGACACCAGTGCAAACCAGGGGGAAACTTGTCACAATCTGTCAACCTCTCACAGTTTTCCTAAAACCCCTCTGTGACCTTTTACATGAAAGCACAATTATGCTCGGGGAGCACGAATGTTAACTTCACCACCAAACACTGCCCTGGGGAGTGCAGGGCCTCCCCAGAGCAGTCCACACCCAGAGGAGATCAAAGGACCACCAGTCCTTTATTGCAATACTTTGAGTTACGCTGAGTTTGAATTGGAAGTGAGTAGGGATAGCACTTTGTTAAAGGTGCTGGGGAATCAGATATCCATTTCTTAGGTGGAAAGATAAGTCACTGTTGGTGCAGACAAGCCGTATAACTTGCCAAGTGTGAGACACCTAGATAGATCCATGAAGAACAACTAAGAATTGAAATGCAAACTTTGCTGAGGAGCCTGGTGGCAAGTGGGTTAAATGCTGGGCTGCTAACCCAAAGGTCAGTAGTTCAAGTGAAAGATGAGGAGATGAGGCAGTCTGCATCGTAAAGACGACCGTCTCTGTCCTACCTGGTCACTATGAGTCAAAAGCCAATGATAACAATGGGCTTTGAAAGCTCATCACTTAGGGCACCACAGCCCTCCCAGGGCCCCTGAGCAAGGATTCAGTTTAGTGCAAGTGTCGGGTTGCGAAGATGCTCAGTGGGAGGTTGAGAACACTGGCTTAGAGGAACCAGAGTCTAAGTCAACCTCTGGTAGTTGTTGACAAGGCTCAATAAACACGAAGATAGCATAAGACCAGGCACTGTTTCCTTCTGGTGTAGAGAAGGCCTCCATGAGTTCGAATCAACTCCACGGCAATAACAGTGGAGAGGAGGAAAGAATAAACAGGATTTAAATAGACGGCGAAGGGATGCTGCAGAACTGGGCACACAGATATGATGGAGAGACACGTGGGTGCTCAGGTCAGGATGGAGATTAATTTGGCACAAAAAGCACGAGAGAAGAAGGAAACGAGGTGGAGGCCCAAGCTGGGTCAAAGGTCCATGGCCTTGTGCCAGGTGGATATGTTTGCATTTTCTGACAAGAAGAGCCAGAGATGGTTCTGCATGGGAGAACAGCACAACTAGCAGGGAAGTCCACAGAGAGTGTCAAGCTAGCTAAGTGACCTGTATTTATATTGCACCTTACGAGGTATTGTCCTCCCCCAGATTCTCCTGAGTGTTGGAGCAGATAACATGCAAGTTGTGACCACATTGGACCAGCCTGTGGCCCAGTCCTATTGTTAGCGGATTCTTGCAAGAGCCCATTGTGAGAGGCCTGGAGCCCAAAGGATGAGGGAAGTAGAAATCGGTCACATGCAGCTGGGCAGACTGTGCCACGCATGATGGCTGGCAGGAAGATGAGTGAGCACTGAAATCTGGCCCGTGTCCTGCTTCCCAAGCCACATGCGTACCTAGCACAGCCAGTGTCCCACTAAGGAAGGGAGAGCATTCGCTCTTCTTACAACAGCATGTGATGGCCTGCCAGTGACCCTAGAATTAAAGAAGCAGGATTGCCAAGATCACCAATGATAGAAGGAGCAGTGTGATGTCGTAATCATGATACCATATCCGGTCACTCAGCAGCAAACATGGCAGCAGGAAGCCAGATCAGGAAGGGGGAAAGCGGGGGTGTCCTTTGTGTGGGGGGGTGGGTGGGGGGGGTGTCAGCTAGCTAGCAGTCCCGTATAGCTGAACTCACACAGCTGCTTCCTTCCATAACAATCTCAGCTACTCCCTCCATGCAAGCCCAACTCCCATGGATCTCAGGCTCATTGGGAGACAGAGATTAAAAAGACACAATAAAAAAATACTTGTTCTTCGTTGCTACCCTGAAGAACAAGTATTTTTTAATGAGTCTTTTTGCAGGGTAGCAACAATGAAACATACAACTTTCCTCTAGTTCTTAAAGACTTCCTACCCCCACTATCATGATCCCAATTCTACCCTACAAATCCGGCTAGACCAGAGGATGTGCACTGGTACAGACGGGAACTGGAAAGACAGGGAATCCAGGACAGCTGATCCCTTCAGGACCAGCAGTGAGAGTGGCGATACCGGGAGGGTGGAGGGAAGGTGGGGTGGAAAGGGGGAACCGAGGGAAGGTGGGGTGGAAAGGGGGAACCGATTACAAGGATCTACATATAACCTCCTCCCTGGGGGATGGACAACAGAAAAGTGGGTGAAGGGAGATGTTGGACAATATAAGATATGACAAAAATAGGAATAATAATTTCTAAATTATCAAGGGCTCATGAGGGAAGGGGTGGCGGTGAGGGAGGGTGAAAAATGAGAGCTGATACCAAGGGCTCAAGTAGAAAGCAAAGGTTTTGAGAATGATGATGACAATAGATGTACAAATGTGCTTGACACAATGAATGTAGGTATGGATTGTGATAAGAGTTGTATGAGCCCCCATAAAATGGTTTAAAAAAAAAAAAAAGAAGAGTTGTACAATCATCACCACAATAAAAAAATCACTTGTTCTTGCTGTTAGGTGCCATCAAGTCGCTTCTAACCCACAGCGACACCACGCACAACAGAACTGAACACTGCCCAGTCTTGTTCCAGCCTCACAACTGCTCTGAAGTGTGAGCCCACTGTTGCGGCCACTGTGTCCATCCACCTTGTCGAAGGCCCTCCTCTTCTTCACTGCCCTCTACTTTACCAAGCTTGGTGTCCTTCTCCAGGGACTTGCTTCTCTTGACAACGTGTCCAAAGTACAGGAGATGCAGTCTCGCCATCCTCGCCTCTAAGGAACAAAGATCTACTTCTCCCACCACAGATGAGTGTGTCCTTTTAGAAGCCTGTGGGACTTTGAATATGCCTCACCAGCACCATAATCCCTTGTCCTCGTCCAACTTTTAAATGCTTATGAGATGAGTGAAAATACCTTGGCTTGGGTCAGGTGCCCTTAGTACTCCAAGTAACCTACTTTCTTTTCAACACCTTGAAGAGGTCTTTTGATCTCCTGACTGCTTCTTCCATAAGCACTGATTGTGGATCCAAGCAAGACAAAATCCTTGACAATTTCAACATTCCCTCCACTAATTGCAATGATGTTACCTAGAGGTCCAGTTGTGAGGATTTTGGTCTTTGTAATACATACGGAAGGCTGCAATCCTTGATCTTCAACAGCAAGTGCTTCAAGTCCTCCTCACTTTCAGCAAGCCAGGTTGTATTATCTGCATATCGCAGGTTCTTAATAAGCCTTCCTCCAATCACGATGCCACATTCTTCTTCACACAATCCATCAAAGCCTAAAAATGCTTTATTATAAATAATGTTCTCTGAGGAAAATTAACGGAGAGCATTTAATGGGGGCGCCGAGTCAAAGAAGGGTAAACTAGTTAATCCTGGGGCGTGGAGCCAGGGAAACGGTCAGATGGGACTTGAAGGACAGGTGAGCGTTGGCTAAGGGACTGTAAGGGAAGAGCATTCCAAGAGGAGAAAACAAAGCTTGCGCTGCCTTTAAGTGGGAGTAAGATACCGTGCATGCTCAGTATAAGCTGACCCGAGGCACCTAACTTTACCACAAAACGGCATTAAAATGTGCTGGAAAACTTGGCTTATACAAGAGTATATGCAGTAATTAACATGGCTGGAACTGAGGTCTGGGGCAAAAATGAGACAAGAAAGTTAT